GTGTGTGTGTGTGTGTGTGTGTGGTGTGTGTGTGTGTGTGTGTGGTGTGTGTGTGTGTGCGCGCGTGCATCTGTTAAGTTCCTATCACACTGTAACGCTTTAGACAACTCATGCCAACTTATTAAAGTTTTAAACACATCTACATTGAAGATAAAATTTAAAATAATCAACTGGAAGCCTTTTTATTGTGTAACCATGCTGTAATGCTAACAAACTAATCAAATATATAACTTTATTAGTGATTTAGACATAAAAAATGTCATGTTTTTAAAAGTTGTCTAAAACATTATATTGTGACAGAGCAAAATATCAGCTGAACAGTTGGACAGATTTTAAGGAAACCTTCAGAAAGTTATTACTGGATGCACGTACAATTTGGGATTTAATCCAGTTCAAGATGGCCACCAGAGCCAACTGATCTCAGAGAACACAACAATCAGTTTCAGGTATGCAGCTAAAGTTTTATGTGGTAGTAGCTAAGAGTCGTCTGCAACGCATGCTTTGAGTGTCAACCCTGTGTGTCTGTTAGCAAAATATCATATGAACTAGAAGATAGGTGTTAATAAAATATTTAGAAAGCAAACTTTGCGTCTGCAGCTGAATAACAGTGTCAATCCGGTTCAAGGTGGTTGCCACAGATGATCAACCAAAAACAGATGTCACTCATTTAAAATGGCACATATTGAGGTCAAAGATGTGGTAGAAAACCATCTTTAACAGATCCTTTGAATATTTTTATTATTATAACTGATATGTGATAGTGTATACCATGGACCAAAATGGTTAATAACTTTATTTTTCAACATGAGGCATGACAGAAAATGGGTGTTAGACATTTCTCCAGGAAATTCTGCCCCTTTAATTTTCTTACAAACACTACAGACACTTAGTGGTGTTGGTGGATGAAATAATAATGCAAAGGGTCTTTTTTTGGCTCTCTATCAAAGCAGCAGAGAAATAATGAATAATTCATGACTGAAGCAGACTGGTTTAAACTCCAGCCCTTCTCTCTCTTCCTCCCAGGTTGTTTCCTGTGATGCAGCACATTCTGACCGCTGGATCCTCTGCTCTGCTCCTCTACCCTGACATCGTCTCTCAGCTGCCCAGCAGATTCTCATCCATCCTTTTTACCACCTCTGCCTGTCCAACACCACTTTTCAGAGCTCCGATCCACTTCCTCATCTTTTCCTGCTCCCACATTATTATTGTTGTTGTTGTTGTTGTTGTTGTTGTTTAATACCCCTATTTGATCCTTTATTCAAAAGGATTTCTCCGATTTTAGTTTCAAATTAGAAACAGGCATTCCTTGAATCGTATTTTGCCCTTGACGTTCGGGCCACACTTTTAGACTAAGATCATGCTGTGTTGAAAATAAAGATAAAAGAAACTAAATATCAAAGTAAAAATAATGCCACATTGTGAATAACTGCCAGCTACACTAAATCAAATTTAAGTCATATCTTTAAATATGTTTTTAGCTTTAAATAAAAAAAACTGGACTTCTATTCTGCAGTTTGAAGACACTTCCTACAGGGAGCTTTCTCAACAGGTTTAGCTGTAGCCATTTTTGTTTTTGAAGGCCAGTTGACTGTGGCAGACATCTACCATTTCCAAAGGTTATGATGATCCAATGATTGGTTTCTGAAAGTTTCATTAACCTTTATTTATATGTTTCATTGCATCACGTGAAACAGATTGAATATGGTTAAAATATGGAATAAAATGTGGGATAGAAAGAAGTGATGGCTGTGTTTTTGTGTTGCATACTGCTCTTATTTTTTAATTTTTTTTACTATTTAGCTAGAAGTTTGAGCATTAACTTCCTCTGATAGTAATCACACAATGAATTAGACAACGGGCACTTCATGTTTTTAATGTACTAAGATACTAAAGTCAGAGCAGTTTAACAAAGGTGGATAACTTATTACAGCTAGTGGTTTCAGGGATTTCTACCCTCCAGTTCATAATTATCTCAATCAAAACTGATTAGTAAAAATCACTGAAATTGATTTCTATAGAAAGCTCAGTGCAGATTTGTTGACTTTCCAAACATAAATAAGTTTAGTTCAAAACTGTCCCTGTGTTTCTTCATAGACACGGTGCTTTGTAAAAGGCTGTTTAAAGGTCAACTAAAAGCACAGCTTCCTTACCGTCAGAGAGGTGAAGGTCATACACATGCCTCCAAACCCGTTCATGGCTAGTGCAACGAAGATTAGGACGGACAGGTCTGCAGAACATGAGGAGCGGGTACATATGAGTCAAAACCAAATCAGAATCTCCCTCTAAACCTGTCTGACTGACTGAAGAGTCACTGACTCACAAATATACTTGATTATAAAGGACAGATTGCAAACGGACACTTCTCTTGACTGAAACTGTCAAACTGATGTAAAAACATACATACTGTTAGGATCTTTGGCACCATACGCAATGAGGAGACAGGACAAGCCAAAGCAGGCACTGGAAACAGAAATAACCAATGTTAATATTAGGAGGTCATGTTTTGAGTGAATGAATGATACTTTATTGATCCCATGTAGGGAAATTACAGTGTTTTTGTGACTTTAAAGGTATAGTCTGGTGATTTTTGAAGAGATACAGTCTGTCTGATAATTATCAAGCTAGCATCCTATAAACTGTGACATCAGAGCTGTGTCCAAATTCAGGGGCTGGGTCCTCTGAAGGCCGAATTTATTGGCCACTTAGCACCGTGCCGGAGGCTGTCTAAATTTGAAGACTCCTCTGATGCGGCAGACAAATGCGTCCTCCGCTTTCTCTGATTTAAGGGACGGGTCCAATGGATCCTTCTTGCTCCATCATATCCCATAGTGCATTGCGGCCGACCGTAGATTTTTTTCCTACTTGTGACGGTGGACGAAGTGAGAGAAAGGAGCAGCTTTAAATAAAAATCTGGTGGAATACAGGATGTACTGTATGCTGGGGGTAAGGACAGAAGCCTAGACCATGTAGACCGAGTCCTTCGAAGGACCCAGGCCCTGAATTTGGACAAAGCTAGAGTAGGTTGGAACAGGCAAAAGTCTTTGTCCAGGCTATGCTAATGGCTAGCCCAACAAGAGCCTGTTGTTCGGTTCTTTCTCAGAAACAATGTACCACTGTATTGAAGGCTACATTAGCTAATATTAATCCTCTACACTTCTGTTAACATTAGTCAGTCTAAAATTATACTCAGCTCCCAGCAGACTGACCAGAGCACCATCAGTCTATTGTAATCTACTTTCACGTAGCACGGACGTTGTTTTGTTGAGGAAACAAACGTCATGCATGCAGAGGTTACATATTAGCTCATGTAGCGTTCTTTTACATCAGTATTTTTTATGGTAACGAGTTGTTTTATTAGCCTGAATTTTTTTAAAAACATCAATCATTTGTTTAACTATTAGTTTAATCTGGACAAAGACCTCTGCCCTTCTCTTCTTCTTCTGTGCTCCATGAGAGTGCTAACTATTTACAATTATTTGACAGAGCACTACTTCAAAAAAATGACCAGAATTATTCCTTTAGGTATCTAAATCATCTGAGGTTTTCATCTCCAGCCTCACCTTCCTAAAAGCCGTAGCTTTCGTGGGCCGTATTTGTCCATGACGATGCCCAGGGGCAGAGTTATGGCGGACAGCAGGAAGGAGCCCACGGTGAAGGCCAAGTTCAACATCTCGTCCTGGTCCTTGCAGATGGGCCAGTTATTCATCAGCAGGAACTCCTCTGCTGGGCCTTCAGACTCAAAACTGGACGAGTTGGAGATGTTAAGACTGGAGCTGTTATCTACGTGGACAAAAACAGGAAAGAGAGAGGGCAGGAGCATGAAAGCTGTTTTTCAGAGGTGCCATGTAAGTACAAATACTGTATTACTTTACTCAAGTAGAAATGTTGGTTACTTTAGAGGAGAAATTATTTTTCAGTCTACTTTTTACTTCTATTCCTTACATTTTAATTCAATTATCTGTACTTTCTACTCCTTACTTTTTAAAAATGCAAAAAGAATTTCATTTCTATGTAACTTAGACTTGTTTTTATTCCATCTTTTCATTGTTCAGAAAAAAATTAGTAACATTATTTATTACGCTATTTTGTCCATTTTAAGTACACTAATCTTATTATTTTGTAAAATCAAAGGAGAAAAATGTTCTTAGTTGTCATTTTTTGTGTAATTTATTCAGAGAATATATTCAGGACCCCACCTTGATGTTTCAGGACCCCACTGTGGGTCCTGACCCCAACTTTAGGAACCACTGTGCTGTAGAGCCCTGCAGCACAGTCCAAGATTTGATCCTTAATGGCTTTTTTTAAGCGTTCATTGCTTTTTCTTTTATACCTTAAGTAGTTTTAAAACCACTTTTTACTTGAGTAAAGTTTGAGTTGATACTTCTACTTCAAAAAAAAGTATTTTTAAACCCTAGTATCATTGGACCTCATGCAAGAACCGTTCGTACGCACAGATTTGTTCTTAAGTTGTGCGTACGAGTG